ATTGGTTACTTTTCCTAATTCTAACAATATGTTTTAACAAACAGAAAAGTTTTGCCAATAATAAACATAATCTCTTGAGTGCTTTCATCTTTACCTCTACCTTTCCTTCTGATGTTCCACATCTTAAACTACCTTACAAAGGTATTTTTACCCTTATATTGTCAATAATAGCATAAATTATAAACTATGCTTTAACTATGTCAAGTTATTTATAACTTATTAATATGTTGGGTCTAAAAGTTGAACACCAGAGGGGCGCCTGGGTGGCTTAGTCGGTTAAGCGTCCGACTTTCGCTTAGGTCATGATCTCGCTGTTCGTGGGTTCGGGCCCTGCGTCGGGCTCTGTGCTGACTGCCAGCTCAGAGCCTTGAGCCTGTTTCAGTCTGTGACTCCCTCTCTCTCTGACCCTCCCCTGCTCACGCTGTCTCTCTCTCTCTCCTAGAAATAAATAAAATATAAAAAAAAAATAAAAGTTGAACACCAGAAAACAGCATTCTAAGCTTTCTATCACAGTAATTAGTCATTCAGTTGAATTCTCTCTTCTGATTTCTCTCCCTGTAACCTAGAGCTTGTGGGACTTCCCTGAATTAGATCTTCCCTGTCCTCCTGAATTAGATCTAGTGATCCCTGAATATAATATTTTCAAATACGCTGTTCTCTACCCCATTTTGCTTGAGTACATATTCAACAAAGTCTTTTTTAAAAAGGTTATGTGGGAGTTTAGGGGTGCCTGGGTGGCTCAGTTGGTTAAGTGTCTGGCTCTTAGTTTCAGCTCAGGTTGTGATCTCACGGTTTGTGGGTTTGAGCCCCACATCTGTGCTGGCAGCATGGAGCCTGCTTGGGATTTTCTCTCTCCTTCTCTCTGCCCTGCTCCTGCCTGTTCTTTCTTCTCTCTCAAAATAAATAAATAAGCATTTTAAAAAAAGAGGTTTATGGGAGTTTAACTTTATGAGTCCCTGCTTATCTGAAAATGTTTTCATTCCACTCTTTTACTTAATGATCATTCAGGTAGGAGTGGAACTTTTTTGAAAATTAAATTTTTTTCTTAGGTTTTGAGGTCAAGAAGTATCTCCCTCAGAAACTTGAAAGTCTGTTTTCTCATATTTAGTGTTGCTGATAAGAAGTCTTACGTAAGCTTGGTTCTTGTTCTTTTATGGATCACTTATTTTTTTCTCTTTGGAAATTTAGGATCTTCTCTTTGTCCTTGCATTTCAACATTTACAAGGTTGGTTTTTCTTTGTTTTTGATCTGTACGACTAGACAGTTTAAGCTCTGGGAAATTTTCTTCCAGTATTTTTGAGTAATTTTCCATCTTATATTTGTTTTCTCTTTTTCTTATAATATTAATCCTCTTGGATCCTTACTCTTATATTTTCTCTTGCAATTTCTCTATGCATATTTTTTCTATTTAAAAAAATTCATTGGCTTAATCTTTTAACACTTCAAGTGAATTTATAACTTTGGTAATTTCTTATTTCTAATTTAAGACCTACTTTTTATTCTTGGATTCTTACTTCATCTGGGTATACTGGGTATACTATTCTTGTTTCCTAGGTGTAATACATCTATGAGCATCCTAACGATTATTATTTTTTTTTTTTACAAATAGTTTATTGTCAAATTAGTTTCCACATAACACTCAGTGCTCATCCCCACAAGTGCCCTCATGCCCATCCCCCCTCCCCCCCACATCCATCAGTCCTCAGTTTTTGTCAGCATTCAAGAGTCTCTCATGGTTTGCCTCTCTCCCTTTCCCCCACCATTTCCGCCCTTCTTCTCCCTCTTGTTTCTCCGTCAAGTTCCTCCTAATCCTCCTATACGTGCAAACATATGATATTTGTCCTTCTCTGCCTGACTTATTTCGCTCAGCATAACACCCTCAAGGTCCATCCATGTTGCTACACATGGCCAGATTTCATTGTTTCTCATTGCCATGTAGTATTCCATGGTATAGATAAACCACATCTTCTTGATCCATTCATCTGTTGATGGACACTTAGGCTCTTTCCATGTTTTAGCTATTGTGGAGAGTGCTGCTATGAACATTGGGGTACATGTGCTCCTATGCCTCAGCATTTCTGTATCCCTTGGGTAAATTCCTAGCAGTGCTATTGCTGGGTCATAGGGCCTAACGATTATTTTTAAAGTTCTTTGAAGTGTCTCTATTTCTTCTATGGCCATTTTCTGTTTACCTTTCTCACCTTCCCCCAGCCCCTTAAATTGGAGACTTCTTTTAAATATCTAATCATCTAATCCTTGGTTGTCTGTTCATGTTTAAGATGAGGTAATTGGAATGCTGATTAGGAATCTTGTGAAATTGGGAAGGTCTTGCCAACTTGCAGAACTTTACTCAAGGGAGAGTGGGTAGAAAACTAGCTATTGTGCCAGAATGAAGACTGTTTTAGTCATTAAATGTTCAAATAGCTGTCCAACTCCCTCCCAGAGATTATGAGAACTCTTGATTTTTAGTCTGAGATAAATGCCTAGTTACTGTATCTGAGATAAGGGAGGTTCTTCTGTTCTTTACAGAGATCTTTATTTAATCTCCCTGTTAGCTACAGCACCTCCTGAACCTATTCTGCATTATGGTTTTTTTCATTTTGTTTAGTCAGACTGCACTCACTTTGTGTGTAAACTTAAAAAAAATATTTTCGTGGTCTCATTCCCATTTTCTATCATGTATGAGTTTGTATCATTTTTAAATTCCTTTATTAGCCTTTTAGTGGGGTCTCAGGAAGAAGAGGTAATAAATGTATGTGCTTAGCTAGCTTATATATATATTTTAAGTACAGTTGACAATCAATGTTACATTAGTTTAAAAACATAGAACACTTCATAGATTTGCATGCCATCCTTGGGGGCCACGCTAAACTTCTTTCATTCCAATTTCAGTATATGTGCTGTTGAGGGGAGCACTCGCCCAGCTTTAAAAATACTAAATGTAAGTTAAAAAAAAAAAAGACATCGGGGCAGAGTAGGACATAAGAAAAAACAACTACTGGAATGGCAAAAAAACCCAAAAAACAACCCCCTCCCGAAACACAGAAAAACATACTACAAAAATTCTGAGTCTATGATAGTGATAGTATCCTGTGTATGTCTAATTTCCTGCTTACATAGCAACTCTTCAGATCCATGCATTTAGTGACATGTTGGCTCTCAGACATCTAGTTTGCACCCCATTTTTACCGTTAAGAAAAGTAGAACCCAGGGCGCCTGGGTGGCTCAGTCGGTTAAGCTTCCGACTGCGGCTCAGGTCATGATCTCGCAGTTTGTGGGCTGGATCCCGCGACGGGCTCTGTGCTGACAGCTCAGAGCCTCCAACCCATCTTTGAATTCTGTGTCTCCCTCACTCTCTGACCCTCCCCTGCTCGCGCTGTCTCTGACTCTCAAAAAAAAAAAAAAAATTAAAAGAAAGAAAAGTAGAACCCAGAAGCAAAGTGATTTTCCCAAGGTCACACAGAGTGGCAGAAGGGAGGCTAGGATATGACTCCTACTTTTCTTATACCTCACCACACTCCTGGGAAGTAACGGGATGAGCAGATCAGCTGTTAGATGAGAAAGATTTTGAAAAATAATCGACATAGCGTGTTTTTTTGGGGAGGAGGGTAAACAGCTAGATGTCTAAAAAAATGAAGTATTTTAGGATACTTATTGGCAGCTATACAATCTTCTTTGGCAACACAGTCTGACAATTGGTAGGCATATGTTGAATGTACTGAAGGGGGCGACTGTACAGCAGGACGGGGAACTGCAATAATCCAAGTGCTTGGTGATCTGGGAGGGAACAGAGTCTGGGCAGGATGAAACAGAATACGGTGAATGAATGAATGTGAATACTGACGGAGGGAGGGGAAAATGTTAGTGGGATTGTGAAGGAGTGTGAATTGGTGAATCGTGATGGAGAGTAAGTAGGGGTGAACGATGACTCAAATCCTTTTAAGGGCATTTTAAATCATTCGACGCAACCTAAAAGGCTGGGAACAAATATAATCCACATCACTCCTCCTTTTGGGTTCAGGGATAGTTTACCTACATTCTTAAATTAATGGATGCAGTTGCCCTCTTCGCATGGCTCCAACAAAAGAAAACCTACTGTGATTCAGCACAAGAAAACTGGGTTTCCTGAATAACGTACCATTTGCCTGGCCACTCGCCTAACTGTTGTGAAGACTAAATAAGACAGCGTAGTACCGCATTTGGCACATCGCAGGAACTGAAAGTGGACCTCAAATTTCGCCCACGTTCTTCTCTCCCGCCGCGCTCCTACAGAAAAACCACGTACACTAGCATGGGTCTGTCGCTACGCCCATGTTCTTTCCCTAAGGTTCAGTGGCCTCACGGCCACATACGCAAAAGCAAAGGGTGAGGGGGGGAAAAATCCAATTTCCCTCCGACAAAGGGTTCTCACAGCGGCTGCGGAAGCGCAGCCGGGAACATACGACAATCCTAGATCTACTCTCTACAGCGGTGGCTGTCCTGGGGCTTGTGTAACGGTCCCCGCCAAGGAGGGGGTGGGGCGACTCTAAGGTTTGGGAAAGAGACGACTCCGCTCTTCGGGCCTGGCCGGTCCACTTCCTACGGCAAGCAGAAGGAGACAAACAACGCCTTGCCTCGCTCCCACCTACTGCCTCTTCCCGTAGCCGGCTCCCGCTCTCCCTTCCCGTGGCCGCAGGGGCCGCGCGTGGGGGACGTGTGCGCCCCGCGCCCGTTCCCTGCTTGGGCGCGCAGTCGCCGCCCGAACCCTGAATCACCCCACTCCCAGCCCCTGACCCGTCTTCCTCTGGAAGTCGCCGGAGGCCTGCTGGTTTCCAAGTCGCGCTCCCAGGGGAGTGCAGGAAAGCTAGGTGGCCCCGGCGCGAGGAGGAGGAGCTCGCGGTGTCTCGCGGCCCGGGCCCGGGGGCGGGGCTAGGTGTCTCGCGCAGGGGGCGGGGCGCAGTGACGTCGGCGGGCGCTGGGGCCGTGCTGTGGCTGTGGCGGCGGCGGCGGCGGTAGTGGTGGCGGCGGTGGTGGCGGCGCCTGGGAGGCAGCGGCAGCAACAGCAGCAGTCCTGAGGAGGGTGAGACGGCCGCCGTGGCGGCAGCTCGGAAGTCGGGCGGGACCGGGAGCTTCCCGACTGCCCCTGGCGCTGAGGCTTTTGCCTTTTCTTAGCCTGCTTCTTCCTCACGGCCCTGGCTAGGGCTGGGCAGCGCGCCCCCGGGGAGGGGCGGAGCTGTAGGTGAGGCTTCAGGACCCCCTCCCCCTTCTCTCCTTACCGGGGGGGGGGGGGATGGGAAAGTCCGGGGAGGGGCGGACCCCACCCCACCCCACCCCAGCCCACCCGCGGGCTCCACCCCACAGAGCTCCAGGATTGGGCGGGAGCTGAAGCTATAGATGTGGGGAACCCGAGGTGGGAGATGGGAGATAGGGGTTCTGGGCGCTTGGAGAACGGAGGGTTTCTGAGGCGTGATGTTGAGAGCGAGGTGGTGGCGAGATGGAGAAATTGGGGAGACAGGAGGTTGGGGTGCGGTCAGGGTGGATGTGTGTGTTAAGGCGACTGATGTGAAATGTTGAAAGAGGTGAGGATTTTTTTTTTTCTGTGAAATGGAAAGCTAGGAGATGGGCTGTATTGCAAAAGGAAGGAGAGCTGTGGATGTTGCCTTTGAGGCAGTTGGAGAAGCTATTGCACTAGGTCTCACATTTCGACTTTAGGGTTTGGTTGTCAGTATTTTTCTTCCTGGGCAGAGAATCCCTCTGCTTTTGGCACAGGTGGGTAAATTGTGAAGGTGGCTGGGCTTAAAGTTTTACACCCTTCTGGAAGAGTGAGGTCTTGGATGAAGACAACTTCATTCTGGCAGCAACATTAGGGAATAGGTCCCATTACACCTAGTTCCTTAAAGGTGTTATCTTCCAGTCTTTTTTCTGTGCCCAAGAGATCTCTTATACCACCTCATTTACAAGCTTTATCCTGGCCCCTTAAGAGGCCTGAAAATCAGGTGGTTGCTTTGGGAGAGACATTTCTGAGTAATGGTTGCAGGTGGTTGTGGTTGACTGCTTTGGATGGATAATTTGAACAGTTCTTTTGGAGCTAATTATATGAAAAATACTTAAATGTTTTAAAGCACAGCTGTCTTTTACAGCTTGTTTTTCAATAGACCTTGCCATTTGGACATTTTGTGTTCAACACAATTATTGGAGCTTATTTTTATTTCTCAATTGCAGATGTTATTAGACACTTTAAAAATGAACTGAAATAATTTTTTCTTGGTAGGTCCCTCTCAATTTCTGAGAAATGTTCTAGGAGTTAGGTGCTTTTAAAATGCTCTTTAATTAACATTTTGAGGGCATGGATCTCACTTCATGGAGAGATGTTAGTAAGAGTAAACAGTATTCAGTGTTCTTAACATCAGTGTTTCACAACTTCATACATTAAATCAGAATCTTTTCTCGATTCCTGCTCCCTATTAGATTACAGTATTCACTGACCTTACCTGTCAGTGTCATTAAAGCTGGTTCTTGCTCAGAAAACAGGTCCTGTGATATACATGTATTATGTAATGGGTGGAAGTAGGCATGATTCTCAATAATTCATTATGGAGGAAGAGCAGCCGTCATGAAATGGAATTTAAGCAGTGACTTTCCCAAGGCTTACTCAATTTATTTGGGAACATAGCCAGAAAAGTGCTTTCCTGTAACCCAAGAGAGAAATATACAGATGTGAGTGTCAGTAGTTGTAGATCATTGCCTTTTTTAACATGCCTAATTAATGAGCAGACTATTATCTTCTAGAAAATAGTTCTGCTTGAAGAGACTTAATAGGCAACAGATGATATAATAGATATTAAGTGAGAAAGGGTGTGTCCGTTTGTAATTCTAAATAAAAGATTCAATTAAGTGTACTCAGGTCAAATTATAAGTTTGTAAATGAATACTTTTGGATTAATTACTTGGAAAGAAAAATTAAAATCCACATACCTAGTTTTGGCTTTTAAGTTATACTTTGATTTAATTGGGTATGCATGAGGACAGACACCCACATGTCAGGTGAAACTTTGTATATATGTATTTTGCTAACGTGACATTTACATGGCTGAGAGTGGGATGTGCTTCTTTGTGGGAATGAAATCATGGGATTTGGGGGAAAGTGTAAGGTAGAAATGATCTATTTCTCCTTAGAATTTTTTATGCCAGGAAAAATACTACCTATTTCAAGACATTTCAAGAAATGTCACTTGCTAGTTGTTACTGTGATTTTCTTGTTGAATCTACTGAAGGCCTCCCCCCCTCCCCCCAGCTTCTTATTAAAGTCAGGAAGGTATGTTTTTCTGTTAATTCAGCATTAATACTTGGAGCAGGATAAAGGTGAAGATTCTTATAGCAACAGCTGCTCTTTTTCTACCCTAAGTTTATGCTTTTAGAAGGAGTAAAAGAGCTGTAAACTGCATTTTACACATACTGTATCAAAAACATTGATGGAAGAAAATCAGGGAATGAAGTATTTTGGCTAACCAAATCCATACATTGATTATCAGTTTTCAAACAAATGTAAAGTAATAAAGTAAACAGCATAAAGGTTATATAGAATATTATTTATTTCTATAATTCTGAGCCTTGGAGCACTGACTCATTCAATGGATATTTATTCACTATGGTTGTGAGTACTTTTTTAGCCATTGAGGATACAGTAGTGAACAAAGCTGACAAAAATACCTGCCTTCATGGAACTGAAATTCCAGATACCTTTTGGGGGAATGAAGAGACACCTGGCAAAGGAGATTGATAAGAGGTCATTGGGTTAGGAAAACCAGGAGAGTGTGATATACTAGAAATGAAGGAAAGTAAGTTTTCAAGGAGGAGGGAATGATCAAGTGTGTCATTGTTTAAAGATGTGTCGGAGTGTTGGGTAAGGGAGGAGTTTGCATGATTATTATGTCTAATAGAAATATGATTAAATGCTTTTTAGTATGAGATGACACAGATGTAAGAATTTGTCAGTTTTTTACTTCCGTAGATTGATTAAAAATTTTTTTTCTTAATGTTTATTTAATTTTGAAGGAGAGAGAAAGAGCATGAATGGAGGAGGGAGACAGAATCCAAAGCAGGCTCCAGGCTTTGAGCTGTCAGCACAGAGCCTGATGTGGGGCTCGAACTCACAAACCATGACATCATGACCCGAGCCGAAGTCTGATGCCCAACCGATTGAGCCACCCAGGCACCTCTAGATTGATTTTTTAAAAACATATATTTCAGTTTTTATTTTTTCAGAACAAAATAGGCAGCCTGTGAAGATATAATACTAGGGACAAGTATGATTTTTTAATTAATTTTGTTATTTTTAATATATTGATAACTAGTACATTCATTAAAAAATAGGTAATACACTTACCAAATCATAAGGTATATTTAGAAAAAAGTAAGACTCCTGTCCCATCATCACATTATTCTTGAAGGCAGTCACTGTTTCTAATTTCTTGTTTTTCCTAACCAGTGAATTTTGTGTAGTAATATGGTTTAGCTACTTTGTTTTATTTTTATTTTTTTAATGTTTATTTATTTTTAAGAGAGAGAGAGACAGGGTGTGAGCAGGGGAGGGGCAGAGAGAGGGAGAGAAGAATCCAAAACAGACTCCAGGCTCTGAGCTGTAAGCACAGAGCCTGTTGCAGGGCTTGAACTCACGAACCACCAAGATCTGACCTGAGCCGAAGTTGGACTCTTAACCAACTGAGCCACTCTGGTGTCCCTGGTATAACTATGTTAAAATTGCATGAATATAACAAATATTTTATCTTCTAGGTTTTTTTTTGCAGGCTTAGTATTTTCATAATTTAAGTCTAGCTACCTGCAGACCTTTTTTAAAAATTTTCTAATAGCTTTATTGAGAAATAATTCACACACCATACAGTTTTTTCATTTAAAGTATATAATTCAGTTTTTTCGTGTGTGTAACTATCACCACAATCAATTTTAGAACATTTTCTTCACCCTCAAAAGAAGCCCAAGCCCATTAGCAGTCATTTCCCTGATTTGATTTTTTAAAGTGTTTTATTTATTTTTGAGACAGAGATAGAGACAGAGCATGAGTGGAGGAGGGGCAGAGAGAGGGAGACACAGAATCTGAAGCAGGCATCAGGCTCTGAGCTGTCAGCAAAGAGCCTGGCACGGGGCTTGAACCCATGAACTGTGAGATCAAAACCTGAGCCTAAGTTGGACGCTTAACCAACTGAGCTACCCAGGTGCCCCATTAACTTTTGGTTTTTATGTATTGTTTTGTACATTATAGGGGGGAAATGTATGTGAAGTACTTGTTTACCAACTAAATTGCAATTAAGCCACTTAGTGTATATTTTTAATATTCTGTGCATAAGTTTGTGTAAAAATTAATAGGGGTTTGTGGACTGCTGGGCTTTAGTAGGTGACTTTAGGGTTCTACATCAGCTCATAGGATGGATTCCTAGATTGGATTGTTAGAAGATCTGAGATGAGATCTTAAAGATAGGTAGGATTTGGCTAAATGGAAAGGTTGCAAGTAGAGGGAATAGGATTGGTAAAACCCAAAGACAAGAGAGCTGTAAGGCAAATTTAGGGGGTCTGAAAATAGTTTGGTCTGATTAAATATCGAATGTTAGTGTGAAGTGTAGGTATCACCGCTCCTTTATGTTAGTGTGTTGTCTTAAAGAGGCAAAATGATTTATGAAAATAATGCTTTTACAAGAGTTCTACCTGGGAGCTTAGGATTTTAAATGGCCTGGAGGTGGCATTCAAAGAAAGAAGGATACCAGTCTCATTTCCCAATATTGAGTGTGGAGTGTGAGAGACTTGATAACCTCCACTGGAAAGGGCTGCTTGGAAACAGGTGTCCTGGGAAAGCCAGTTTTCAGTTAAGTCAGAGAGGTAGAGAGAACTTTCAGAAGAGTTTCTTCATGATGGAATGAAGTTCCTTGAGTATTTTTCTACCTCCCTGGCTTCTTATCATCACTTAAACTTTATTATTTATTGATTATTTTTTTAATGTTAATTTTTGAGAGAAGATAAGCAGGGGAGATGCAGGGAAAGAGACAGGGGATCAGAAGCGGGTTCCCCATTGACATTAGAGAGGCCAGTGGGGGACTTGAACTCACAACTGAGAGATCATGACCTGAGCTGAAGTTGGATGCTTAACTTCATCCAACTCAATGCCCACAGGTGCCCCTTGTTACCTGTTTTTATTATCAGTTTTTAAAAAGTTTATTTATTTATTTT